CCCCCTTTTTTATTCCACTGCCTTATTCCTAGACACATACCTGGGTTGTTTTGTGCCCCATCCAAAATAACCAGATATGTATCTGTGAGATGATTTTCTTGCTTTCTCTTTTTTTTTTTTTTTTTTTCAGAGTCTCACTCTTGTCACCCAGGCTGGAGTGCAATGGCACAATCTCAGCTCACTGCAATTTCCGCCTCCTGGGTTCAAGCGATTATCCTGCCTCAGCCTCCCATCTAGTTGGGATTACAGGCACCCACAACTACGCCCAGCTAATCTTTGTATTTTTAGTAGAGATGGGGTTTTGTCACATTGGTCAGGCTGGTCTTGAACTCCTGACTTCAGATGATCTACTTATCTTGGCCTCCCAAATTACTGGGATTACAGGTGTAAGCCATTGCATGAGATAATTTTCTTGGATAGAATGAAAGAAGCTAGGAGGCCGAGGCGGGTGGATCACGAGATCAAGAGATCGAGACCAACCTGGTCAACATGGTGAAACCCTGTCTCTACTAAAAATACAAAAAACTAGCTGGGCATGGTGGCACGTGCCTGTAATCCCAGCTACTCAGGAGGCTGAGGCAGGAGAATTGCCTGAACCCAGGAGGCAGAGGTTGCGGTGAGCTGAGATCACACCATTGCACTCCAGCCTGGGTAACAAGAGGGAAACTCCGTCTCAAAAAAAAAAAAAAAAAAAGGAACGAAAGAAGCTTGGCTTCTGGGCCCATTTTATGCGAACACTTTGCTCCCTGTTATAGTCAGTCACTGGAACCCATTGTAAAGTCGGTTCTGGGTTTTTGCTCAGCTATCACGTAATAACCGTCACAGCTTTTCTCCTGCACCCTAACACCATCACCATTGCAGGTGGATATTTTTACCTCTAGTTTATAGTTAGGAAGCCTGAGACTCAGAGGGATTGAAGAGTTTTCCAAAATCATACGGCTGGCAACACCAGGAACCTGGGCTGCCTGAGTCCTAACCATCATTCTACCCCAGCATTGAATTCCAAGGCTTCTAGATCTTACCCTCCTTCCCTGTTTGAAATGTATTTTTTGGAGAACAATTGACCTCAGAATGAGTAATTTGTCACTACTCTAAGAAAGTTTCACTTTTCCCATTACGAAAGGAAAATGAGAAAAATATGTCCTAGATACTACAGAGAAAAATGTTTCTTTGTTTTAATCGCCTTTCTATTTCAATCAAGGAAGGCATTTAATTATTTCTGAACTACATTCAAAACTCTGTCTCAAGAATATTACTCTCCCAAGGTGAGTTAACCAGAGCTGTGCACAACATATCTCAAGTCTGAATAATAACATCAAAAATTTATTGAGCACTTTTTATATGCCAAACTAGTCTTAATTCTTTCTGTTTATGACCTCAATTATTCCTCATGGCAAGTCTGTGAAGTGGAAGCAATCATTCTGTTCTAACAAATTAGCAACAAAAGTCAGCCGTGCTCCCCCTACTGTTGCATTTCTTTGGCGCAGAAATAGTGTACATTTGTGTATAAGTTCATTGCTGTTGATGGGGCTTGGACCTGTGTTCAAGTTTTCTTTTCCTAAATTTGCCTAACTTTTAAAAAGCAAAACCAGTGGCTTTCAACACCGCAGGTTGAGAAGCTGGTACTTTAAGAGGGGTAGAGCATCTTCCTTACTGCCCGCTTGTCTAGCAGTGTTTCAGGGGAACCCACAGCCTGGCATTCTTCCTGGGCAGGAGGACACAGCCCTTCTGCTACAGGAGTAAATTCTTGGATGCTAAGTCCTGCTTCCCTTTGAGGCCTGAGGCCAATGCCTGGGGCCTCTCTAGTTCTGATATTGTTGGAGTTTCACCTGTATCAGGTCAGCCCTTCTGTTCAGATCTGTGAAAACCTGCCCGCCACTATATGGAGCCAGCAGGGATTATGTAATGTGTTCACATGTTGCTCAGACTCTTGATCTCAAGATATTTTTCTTTAGAAGCATCTACAGGGGACCTTTTACTTTTAGGCCTGAGAGATAGGGTAGAAGGTGGGGACTATTTGGCTTAATCCAGCACATATGTGTTGCAGCCCCACCGTATATGTGGCTTCAAAAAGATTCAAGATGAGCAAACCTTCTGTTCCCTGCCTCCCCCAGAGGAAACACTACGTAACAACAACAAAAGCTCTTCTCTCCCTCCATGCAGAAATTAAATAATAATATCAGAAAGAAGGGGGAAAAAGTATATGGCTTCCCAGAACTAAAAGAAACCCTTCTTAGGTAATCATGAGACCAGAAAACCTGTAGGCAAGATGTGTAAGCCCCCTGCTCTGACCGCAGACTTCATGGTGCTTACCTTCCTCTTCTAATGAGTGATCTGTACGATTCTTTTCTATATGCTGTAATGAGATGAAGCGCCTTCCTGTTCTGAGTGGAGTACTTCCAGCGTAGACTCGATTGCCAATGGAGAAATGACTGATGGGCCACGATAAGCCTGCTTTGTCTCTGTATTTGTCACATCTCTCTCTGCACACCATGTCAGCTTCCCTGAAGCAGGTGATCTCTGATTCTCAAACCAGTCCCCCTGGCTCTACATCCTCTTCCTCCCACCCGCTTCATGATTGTTTTCATCAGATTCAGCATCGGCCGTTAGCATGATGAGTGCATGGATGCCAAGGCTGCACCCAGAACCATGGGATGCTTTCCTGCCTCTGATCTCAGTGTCTATTTTCTTCTGAGCCCATACATATGGTTCTCAGCCATTGAATGCTGCACAGTGGAAAAGGAGAAGTGTTGTTTCATATTTTGATAAGTCCCTGGAGAGTCCTTTGAAATTGATGATGCTATATGGAATAGATGGAATACATTAATTCAGTGACAGGTGAGAGTGAAACTTCTAAATGGGGGTTTCTCAGCAGCAGCACTATTGGCATTTGTGGCTGAAGAATTCTTTGTCGTGGGGCCTGTTTTACGCATGATAGGATGTTGAGGAGCATCTCTGGACTCTACCTACCAGATGTCAGTAGCACCCCCAGCTGTGACAACCAAAAATGCCTTCAGATATTACCAGATGTTCCCCCGGAGGCAAAATCACCTCCAAATAAGGACCATTGCTCTATCCAGGCATTCTTCTCTTTCTTCATTCTGTTTGTTTGTTTATTTATTTATTTTCAAGACAGTCTCACTCTGTCACCCAGGCTGGAAGTGCAGTGGTATGATCTTGGCTCACTGCAACCTCCGCCTCCTGGGTTCAAGTGATTCTCCTGCCTCAGCCTCCTGAGGAGCTGGAAATATGGTGCACACCAACACGCCTGGCTAATTTGTGTATTTTTAGTAGAGATGGGGTTTCACCATGTTGGGCAGGCTGGCCTCAAAACTCCTGACCTCAGGTGATCCACCTGCCTTGGCCTCCCAAAGTGCTGGGATTACAGGTGTGAGCCACCATGCTCATTTCAGTTCTCTTAGATACGTTTGCAGACACTTTTGTTTATTTCCTTAATTCATTTTTCAAGTGGTGAGTAGATTTTCTGCTTATACCAGGCTTTATGTGAGTTACCAAGAATATAAAGATGAACCAGACATCTTTCTTCATGTTCATGTACATATGAATAGATATGTGAATATATGGATATGTATGAATATATATGTATATAAATATATGTGAGTAAATATCCATATATTGAGTCAAGTTTAAATGTATCCGAAAGTTTCCTTTTCTGAGTATTGTTTCCAGGCTGTCTCCCTGGCTGGCATTTGAGTCATTATAACTTCTTTAATGAATGTTGTGTTTCTATTTTTATAGCCTGTGTCTTTGGGTAAAGTTCCTTATAGCATGGATGAGTATCCTTAGCTTTTGGCACAGCTTTTAACCTTATGAAATGATAATACTCTATTAATCTATCAATTTCATCCATGAATGCTTCAATCATTTCAGGTATATCTTCTCACCTGTCACTTTAGATTTACTGTTTTCTTCTTTTGTGATTTCTTTTGTTCTCTTTAACCAGCCACCTGAGGCTTCATTTAACTTGAGGGCATTTTAAGTTTTATTTAAGGAAACTTCTGTTTGGAAACCAAGGTCCAGCACAGTAGAGGGGTGTCCGTGGCATGGCTTCCTGGTAAACTTTAAGTTAGCCTGTTCCCATTAACGTTTTTAGAAACTGTGATACAAAAATTGGCTCATGGGAAATGAAATGTGGGGCAGTTTTCTTTCCAGGGGGAAGAAAAGAGGGGTGTATTTCATCGAGGAAAAGGGTTGCAGATAGTTTCCACTGCGTTAGTAATTTTAATATTTCATGCTTTATGGTGGGCACTTGGGTGTTCATTACTTTCTTTTCAAATATATGGTGTGTGTGTGTGTGTCTTATTATTATTATTATTGAGACGGAATCTCGCTCAGTCGCCCAGGTGCGATCTCGGCTCACTGCAACCTCTGCCTCCCGGGTTCAAGCAATTCTCCTGCCTCAGCCTTCTGAGTAGCTGGGATTATAGGCACGCATCACCACACGGGCTAATTTTTGTATTTTTAGTAGAAATGGAGTGTCACCATGTTGGTTAGGCGGGTCGCCTCGTGATCGGCCCACCTTAGCCTCCAAAGTGTTGGGATTACAGGCGTGAGCCATCACACCCGGATGTATATTTGAAATACTTTCTAGTACATATTAAAGAAAAGGCAGCCAACTGAAAGTTTGGTTTCGATTTTTCTGCCCTTCACTGGTTTTCAGTAGATATTTGGGAGTCGGGTCTCCACTTGATGAACTACCCACGTTTCTGCCCTTGAAGGACTCGTGGGGGACGCTTATGTAACATTCCTGGACTTTTACATCTTTTAAGAGGTGCTGCCTCTTGCCATGTGCTGTAGAAAAATATTAGATAGTCACTTGTGCTTTGTGTAGGGTGACCAGGTTCATCCGTAAAATGCTTAAGACCTGTTCGAAATACATTGCTCCCAAGGATGCCGTGGGCAGGGTGCTGGGATTCTGAGTGACAGCCGGAGAGAAGTAAATTGGAGAGGGAGGCAGAGAGGAGGGAGGTGATGGCGGGAGGAGGAAGGGAGGAGCGACCAACCCTCTCCAACACACCCAAGTGACCAGATTCATCATAGCACGAAACTTCACAAGTTACACCCACTGCCTCCGCCAGCAGCCGGGGAAGGCTGCCGCTTCCTCATTTCTGTTACTGGAAGTTTCAGAGATGTGAAGCCAGACGGGAGAAAAGTGCGCGCCTTGTTGAGCAGCGGTGAGCTTGAATTTTGAAATCGATTCTTTCCACCGGCGAATCTCTGTGTCTGGTGGTCGGGGGCGGGCAGCCAATTGTGGCTCTGGGCGAGAATAGGTGAGAGCTCTGGGCGAGAATAGGTGAGAGCCCCGAGCTGAGCAGTGCAGCTGGGGCGGGTGAACCGTGCGCCCCGGAGCCCCTTCCCAGAACGAGCAAGCGCGTCTCAAAGCTGCTCGGCGCGCGTTGCCGGCTGAGCTCCCGAGACTCCGGCGACGTTGGTTCTGGCTCCCGAGTACAGAGATTCCGGCTTTGAAAGCTTCATGTTACCTCCTTGACTTCTGTAAGCGAGGATCTTTGTATGGGATACGGTGTTGGGGAGGAGACCGGTGTTGGGGAGGAGACCGGTGTTGGGGAGGAGACCGCGGGATCCTACCACCCACCCAGGATGCGTCCTGCCCGGGGCTGTCCTGCTGAGAGTTGGGTAATTGCAGGTCAGTGCCATTGAAAATGAACCCCATGGCACACTTGGGAATCAAGTGGAAAAAAGGTTCCGAAGAAATACTCAGAAGCTGTGGCTCGCGACAGCACCTGGATGGGAGTTCTGGGGTGAGACATGGGAAGTCTCTGGTTTCTCATTAATTTTACATCTGATTAGATTAGTTTGGTTCTAGGTTCCTGGCTGTGGAGGTGTGATTTGTTTATCTGGAACATTTTATTTTTAATGTCTGTCTTTATGTGACAGCTAGGCTTACCTTTGGATTGATTGCCTAAGTCAATTTTGGGTGGGGTGTGAGAGGAAGTTTGGGTGAAGGGTGACACTGTGGGCTGGGATCATTGCAAGGGACAGTATGTTCCAGCAAAGGATAAACCTGGCCCAAATGAGGCTTCTCACAGACAGGCTTTAGGTTTTATTTCAAGCCTGGAGCTGGTCAGTGGGCTTCCATTTAGCCTGGGTCTGTAGGGGTCAGATGGAGGCTATAGGGTTAACTGTTAACGGTTGCAATTATTTTCTACCTGATCATCAACTTAGTAATGTACCAGCAGTTGGAGCTGGTTTTTGTTTTTCGTAAGCAGATCCTTCATGAGAATGTTTACAGAATCGTCTTACTTTAAGGGGAAGAAATGAAGGTGAAAAATGTATGGCTCCTATTGTATTTATAGCAAGCCAAATGCTATTTCCCAGGTCTGGGGTGGGTCCAGTCAGGAAAATGTCAGTAGCTGATTTTATCATTTTTCTAATATCAAAGTGGAATTGCCTGACTTTCTCAGCATACCTTTTCTTGAACTTTGAAGGTCAGGAGGCAGGCTGCTGGGCCACGGTTCACTTAGCTTGCTCTGACTCGTGCTTCCTTGAAGTTAAAGATGTGGATGGAAAGGAAATTACTTTTAAACCATATTAGACGTGGCCTAGGGAAGGACAACAGGTTGTATGATTCAGGGCTAGAGACCTGAGTTCTAGCTGGTTTTGGGCTCAAGAAAGGACCCAGTGGCAGGTAGATATGAAATTGATGTTGACAAGAGGCTTGTGATGCACTCCCTCAGGCCCCCACACCCCAAGGAACCTTTAATAACTCATTTGACACTAAAGACAACCAAATTGGATCTCATGATAATGCTGGTGAAACTGACTAATAGAGTTTTATGGAACAATAATTCGTAGCTAGAGAAAGGGGGAATGCATTATTCGTAGAGCAAAGGTTTTTAGATACTGTCACATGGGACCGTTAGAAGATACCATCATGCAGACATTTGAAATTGGGGTTAATGCTGTTATATGACCATGTAGATGTGAGAGAAAGTGACAATTTCTGTATCATTATCTTTTCATATTGTCTCCCCACCTCTCTCAGTAAATAAGCTGGTTTGTCTCTGGTTGGTTATACTTTAAATTTTATTCACTTATTTCTTCTTTTTAGAGGTGGGGTCTTGCTCTGTTGCCCGGGCTAGACTCAAACTCCTGGACTCAAGTGATCCTCCCACCCCAACCTCCTGTGTAGCTAGGACTATAGGCTTGTGCCACCATGTCTGACTGTTTGTTAACTGTTAATTTGTTTAATAGATACCAGACCGTTTACAGAAATTTTCCCATTTTATATACAGTTTCAGATTTATTGGTATAATATTGAACATGGTATCCTCATAACATTTTTAAAGACTATAGCATCTGTAGCTGTGTTTCCTTTTTCATTCATGGCGTCGTTTGTACCTTTTCTCCTTCAGTCTTGCTAACATATTATCAATTTTATTGGTCTTTCAGAAGAATCAACTTTGGCTTTTGATGGTATCTTAATTGGAACACAAACAAAGGTCACCTCCTTTTTTTTTTTTTTTTGAGATGGAGTTTCGCTGTTGTTACCCAGGTTGGAGTGCAATGGCGCGATCTCGGCTCACCGCAACCTCCGCCTCCTGGGTTCAGGCAATTCTCCTACCTCAGCCTCCCGAGTAGCTGGGACTACAGGCTGCACCACCATGCCCAGCTAAGTTTTTGTATTTTTAGTAGACACAGGGTTTCACCATGTTGACCAGGATGGTCTTGATCTCTTGACCTCGTGATCCACCCCCTTCGAACTCCCAAAGTGCTAGGATTACAGGCTTGAGCCACTGCACCCAGCCCCACCTCCTTTCTTTTCTTCTTTTCTTTTTGAGATGGAGTTTTGCTCTTGTTGCCCAGGCTGGAGTCCAATGGCATGGTCTTGGCCCACTGCAGCCTCCACCTCCTGGGTTCAAGTGATTCTCCTGCCTCAGCCTCCCAAGTATAGCTGGGATTACAGGCACCACCACAACCAACTAATTTTTTTGTGTGTGTGTTTTTAGTAGAGATGGGATTTCACTGTGTTGATCAGGCTGGTCTTGAACTCCTGACCTCAAGTGATCTGCCCGCCTCAGCCTCCCAAAGTGCTGGGATTATGTGATCCACCGCGCGTGGCCTGCCACCTCCTTTCTTGAGTTTATATTCATTTTTAAAATTCTGCCCCTTGGAACTCTGTCAAAAAAGGCCGGAAAACAGCCTTTGAAAATAAGCAGCTGAGTTCCTTGTCTGTAAGTAGGAGGACACCATGTATTTATCTTTGTATCTTTGACATAGATTATGTTTTTTCAGTTTCATTAAAATATACCGTCTGTTCGTGAACGCCATACATAGTGAACCAAATTGTTCCAAGGTGGGTTTTGTGTTTTCATTGAGGCACACCCTGTGATATTGTTCTGGGAAAATGTAACTAGAATTTACATGAGACTTGCTGGTAATTTAATGTGAATTGTAGGTACCTTCAACACACTTGACAATACAGATTTACCTATACGACAGCAGAACGAATGTGCTGTAATGACTCGAGAAGACACTTCATTTTGGTTCATATTTAATGCATGAGGCTGAGCATTTTAAAGTTGTCTCAGAACAGATTCTTTCTGCATATATCAGAAAGGATGCTGATATCAGAAAGGCCTGGCTTTGAATTCCTCTTCTACCACTTTAGGCTGTGTGGCCTCAGGAAAATTGCCTACCCTCTCTGAACTTGTATTTCCCCAAATGTGAAATGGAAACGGATTGTGAAATTCCACTATGAATAATGAGTGAATAATGAGATTTCATTATGAATATTCATGTAAGGTTTCTATCCCTGCTTTGACACAAAGTAGGCATTTAACAGTGACACTGAGTGTTTTCAACGTAATGATGAACGTTTTCTGCCTCCGACCCTTTCTTGTCCAGTCTCCAACCTTCCCACCTCTCTTAATGCCTTTCTTCCAGTAAGGCAAAGTTACTGCAGTAGAATAAAACAAAACCATTTTCCCCGTTTGTTCTCTCCTCCTCAAGGGCAAGTGCGTTATCAGAGTCACCGTCTATATTTTCAGTATTTGCTTTGTATTTTCCTGGTTGGTTATCCTACCATTTCTTCCCTCCAATTTTTATCTTACTTTCCCAGGGTTTTTTTTCTCTCCCAGTTTATCTCATCTCCTTGAGGATCTTACCCACTGCTCTGTTTTTTTCTTTCTTTCCTCTTTTTTTTTTTGCCTGCCTTTAGTGTAAAAATGAAATTGAGTACAAAGCCCAGATCTTGGCAGTGACTGGGATGTAAGTTAGTGGGTTGCTTCTGTGAAGGAAACGTTTGCTTAATTTAGTTACTCAAGAATTTAACTTGGAAGCCGGTCATGGTGGTGTGTGCCTGTAATCCCAGCTACCCAGGAGGCTGAGACAGGAAGGTTCCTTGAGCCCAAGAGTTTGAGGCCATCCTGGGCAATATAGTGAGACCCCATCTCTAAGAATTAAATTAAATTAAATAATTAAAACAAGAAAAGAATTAAAGTTGGAATTAGATGATGCTGGTGAGTGCCATAGCAGTTTGGTATTGCCATTGCATTTTCTGAGAATACTTTTTCAGACCTTGGAGTTTCTAAGTACTTTTGGGGAAGCGTTGATTGTTTGGTGTTAAGGTTGATGTTTTAGCCAAAAAGGGACAATTAGAGCATAGGACAGAGGAACTTGACTGGTTAATATTCCCCACCAAGGGAATATAGCATTACCGAGTTTGTCCAACCCTGAGCCATTGGTTCTTCCAAGGGTGTCTCATTTGACAAGCTCCTGGGGTATTAGGACCTTGTCCTAGGTAATGGCATAATGAGTTAGCGTTTATTTATGCATCTAATATTGCAAGGGACTGGACTGGGGATGGGAAGGGATTGTGAGCTGGGAAAGGCCTTCATTTGCTTTCTGGTGCTATGTTAAAGTCATTCTGCTTTGCCCAAGGAGTGAGTCTTGGTTTACATTTTGGGTAGTGAATCAGCTTCAAGTGTGGAGTTATTTTCCATAAAGGCAGATTACTAGCTGTGCCTGGTCTGGCCTGCCCGCTATGACCTGGTGGTGCTATTTTGTTCTAGCTGATGTTTTCTTGAGAATAGAGAACGAGGAGGCAACACCCGCTTCTTCGGCATTCGTATTTTGCAACACCCGCTTCTCCGGTTTATTTTGGTGCCGTTGCTTGAAAACAAGTGTTAGCGTGGCTTTCATTGGTAAAGCTTTTAGGAAAGAGATCATCACTTTTGGAAACTTTTGTTTCCTTAATGGTTCAGGGTGGATTGATTTGTGAGCTCTTGTACTGAATCGTGAAGCTGCTTCCAGTACCTGTAGTCACATGCTTTAGTATTTCCATAAACCATGAGATTTTGGTGGGCAAGAATCACCACAGTCCAGGTGCTTTCTACAAAGCTATAGATAACTAAGCCTGGTAAATGCTTCTTTTGTTTATTTGTTTATTTATTTATTTAGAGACTAAGTTTTGCTCCTGTTGCCCAGGCTGGAGTGCAATGGCGCAATCTTGGCTTACCACAACCTCCGCCTCCTGGGTTCAAGCAATTCTCCTGCCTCAGCCTCCCGAGCAGCTGGGATTACAGGCATGCACCACCACACCTGGTTAATTTTGTATTTTTAGTAGAGGCTGGGTTTCTCCATGTTAGTCAGGCTGGTCTGGAACTCCTGACTTCAGGTGATCCACCTGCTTCGACCTCCCAAAGTGCTGGGATTACAGGCGTGAGCCACCACGCCCAGCCAGTGCTTCCTTATTAAAATATGAATTGCTTATGAAAATAGAAATACTAAATACTAATGTATTGAGTGTCTACAACATATGAGGTAATTTTCCTGTGTTATCACATTTAATGTTTCTGAAGATAATCTTGCAGTTTCTCGAGGTATATAAAAAAGAAGCACAAATCCCATTATTTTTTTATGTTGCTCTTATAGGTGGAGTCACTGTGGACTGAGGCCCACGTTTCTAGACTTGAAGCCCAGGAAGGAGGAAGAGAAGGCTGGTTGCTACCATGGGGTATGATGCTCTGAATCCTAGTCTCTCACCTAGGATGTGAGCAGTCCCTACAGATGGCACATTTGGAGATCTTGACAAAGCTTCTTCTGTCTCCAATGGGGTAAGTGTGGCATTTGCAGAAGGCCGGAGAATGAGGATTGAAGCTTTTAAAGTCTTTATTATCTTGATCCTGCCCAAATCCACCTTTTTTTGGGGACAATGGAAAGTTCATTGTTTGTGACGATGGTTTTGGTGGTTAAAGGGTTGCTGAGTTTCCCCAGTTGCAATCTGAGGCTTTGAAACGGGTTTCCTGGGAACCTTTCCCATTCTTCCTGGGTGGTTCCCATGGTTATTTTGTTGTGGAGTTGGCCATGGGTTATCCTTTGCCTTCCTGACTTTTCTTTTGCCTGCCCCCATGATAGTGGGAAAGGCAAAGAAGGAATTGATTTGGATGCCACTGGGGAAAATACAAAACTAGCCAGGTATGGTGGCGAGCACCTGTAGTCCCAGCTACTCAGGAGGCTGAGGCAGGGGAATCGCTTGAACCTGAGAGGCAGGCGGAGGTTTCAGTGAGCCAACATCGGACTGCTGCATCTCAAAAAAAAAAAAAAAGAAAAGAAATATGCTGCAAAGATACCCTCCCTACTTCCTGTATGTGGCACGGACCCCTTCTAGGGAATTCCAGCAGAAAGGGCTGTTGTACTCCAGTTTTCCTCGGCTACGTGGGAGTGGTGATGTCTGCCCATGCAGTCCCCGTTTACTTCCTAGGAGGAGAATGACGTCGACCAAAAGGGGCTTTCTAGCTATTCGAAGTTGCTCTTGTTCTTTTCAACTTTACCTTCCTCTCGTGGACAAACCCACCTCGACCTTGTTAGCAGGTGACATTGGGATGCATTATTTTACCTTCACCAGGTTTGGCTCCTATGTTGGTTGGTCCAGAATGTGAACACAGCAGGAGACGTGGACTTGAGAGAGAGCAAGACTCACAAATGCTTCCTGGGGCGTGATTTTTGTCACTTTTAGCGTTTCCCACCCAGCATTCCGGGTCCTGCATTGTGGATCTTGCTGGGACTTGTTCCTCCAGTCTTACCTGCTGCTCCGCTCTGCCTGCATCCAGACGCACAGTGGCGTAGCCACTCCTTTCTCTGTACGTAGTGGCTTGGAGCAAACTTCCTTTCAAGGGCTCTCTGGACAGAGGGCAGATAAGACCTCTGTGTGTGCACTCTCTTCAGGGTTAGCCCTTGCTAGGGATGCCCTGCAGATACAGGGACTCCCAGGTAGGTGGTGAAAGGGAATCCAGCCCCTACGGGCACCCTCCAACAGAGAGCGGAGCCAAAGCTCTCACTTTTCCTGTGATAATACAGACTCATTGTATTATCACAATCAGGTTTCATGCCCTTTTCAAGTGGTAAAAATAATCATATAAATAATAATAGGCCAGACGTGGTGGCTCACACCTGTAATCTCAGCACTTTGGGAAGCTGAGGTGGTTGGATTACTTGAGGTCAGGAGTTTGAGCTGGCCTGGCCAACGTGGTAAAACGCCATCTCTACAAAAATACAAAAATTAGCCAGGCATAGTGGCCCATGCCTGTAATCCCAGCTACTGGGGAGGCTGAGGCTGGAGAATTGCTTGAACCCGGGAGGTGGAGGTTGCAGTGAGCTGAGATCACGCCACTGCACTCCAGCCTGCAACACAGTGATATTCTGTCTCAAAATAATAACAACAACAATAACAACCCTTTGGAAACCCAGCTGTCCTTGTTCAGCCCCATCCTTTGGGTTCCCTTCACCTGTCTATTAAATTTCCTTTCCCTGAGTGCTTTCACTCCTGCCTTCTTTGTTGGAGGGTGCCCACAAGGGCTGGATTCCCTTTGACTAACTACCTGGTAGTGTCTGTACCCGCAGGGCATCCTGAGGAAGGGCTAACCCTGAAGGTGCACATATTCCAGGCCAAGCTGAGGTCTTGTCTGCCCTGGGTCTAGAGTGCCCCATGACTTCTTTCCCTTCAAGATCTCCTCAGCCTATTTTCTGTTTTTCTCTGAAAACACTTCCTTTTCTTTTTTTTTTAATGGCGTCTCACTCTGTCTCCCAGGCTGGAATACAATGGCGCAGTCCTGGCTCACTGCAACCTCCACCTCCTGTATTCAAGCCATTCTCCTGCCTCAGGCTTCGGAGTAGCTGGGATTACAGGCACACACCACCATGCCTGGCTAATTTTTGTATTGTAGTAGAGACGGGATTTCACTATGTTGGTCGGGGTGGTCTTGAACTCCTGATCTCGTGATCCACCCGCCTCTGCCTTCCAAAATGCTGGGATAACAGGCGTGAACCACCGCGTCTGACCAACACTTCTTAATCAAAAATATATACATGACTTTTTACCTCTGGCCTAAGTAACCTATCCAAAGCCATAGCATTGGGAAATGAGGTATCAGGATTTGAACCCAGGCAGCCAGGCCCCAGAGTCTGGTCTCTTGACCACCTGTGCTATTGTGTTCCTCCGAGGTGGTCTGCTTGGACTTCTCTTTATACTTGCCCCAGCATGGCTCTAGTGACTGCCATGGTCTGCTTAGAAAATGTTACCTGAGTGAGTGGCCACACAAAGCACCGGAGTCAGGCTTCCTGAGTCCTGTCTTAGGACACCTGTCCTTGTCAGTTACCACCCGTGGCCTCCCACCTGCTCTGTGCCAATTCAGATTTTACCTCTCCTTCAGGGTCAGCTCACATCCACCTCCTCCTGGATACCTTTCTGGACTGCCCGGCCACTGTGATTTTTAGCCCTTGGAACCAGCGTTCCTTCTCAAATGATGTTACCCTTCCGCTCTCTCCCTGAAGTAGGATCATGCATCCCTGAGAGCTGTGACTGTGCCCTGTGCCACCTGTGCCACTGTGTTAAGGGATTCTTTTGGGATTAAAACCTGGTCAGAGTTGTCCAAAGAAATGGCAGCCTTGCTTGCAGAATCTGCAAGCAAAGAAACATAATGAGGTTAAAGAGCAAAACTAAAAAACAAAACAAGCAAGGGGCAAATCTAAAAATTGTCAGCCCATTTCTGTGTGAGCCTGTGTGTGTATTTTCATGCTGCAGCTGCTCAAGTTGAGTCATAGAGTGGATGTGTCATCTCTTGGCTTCAGGGACAGTGGCTAGCCCATATTCCCCCTGGAGGGAGTTTAAGCACATTTATGTGATGAATAACGTGGTTTCACCCCCAATACTTGGGATGCATTTCAACAGATTTCATGCAGATGGTAGGTGAAGCATGTCAGGCATCTTTTGTCCTCCATTCGAAAGATAACAGAAATACCCCCAGCAGAGTCAGTGCGCTGAGTTTTAGCTGATGGCCGGCCAAACGCTGCCCGTGGCACTTGAGCTGTGTTGGACATGGTGGGTGCGCCCCACCATCATAAGGCAGTGGAAGGAGGGCTAGGGCTGGAAAGGAAGATGCAAACGTTGAGCACTACTGTGTGCCTGGCGTTCTTCTGCTTTGTGATCTCTAATAGAATACATGATTGCACTCACAACCCCTCTGCCTGTGCGTATTCTTATTTCCAAGTCTACCTGGTGGAGCCCAGGTAGCTTGACTAAAATCTCGCTGCTGTGGTGGGGACCCTGGACTCAAACCGTGTTTTATCTGACTTCTAAACTTGTGACTGTTCCCACGCATCTTGACCTCTGGTTCTGAATATAAACAGAGGTATTTAGATGAGGATGTCTAATGGTCATATTAACTCTAGAATTTGGAGACTCTTGAGTTTCTTTGTGTGTATGTGTGTGATGGAGTCTCCCTCTGTTACCCAGGCTGGAGTGCAGTGGTGCTATCTTGGCTCACTGCAACCTCTGCCTCCTGGGTTCAAGCATTCTCTCACCTCAGCCTCCCAAATAGCTGGGATTACAGAGCTGTGCCACCACACCCAGCTAATTTTTCTGTTTTTAGAAGACGACGTTTCACTATTTTGGCCAGGCTGATCTCAAACTCCTGACCTCAGGTGATTTGCCCTCGTCTGCCTCCCAAAGTGCTGGGGTTACAGGCGTGAGCCACCACACCTGGCTGGAGTTGATTTCTAATCTGAATCTTTTCTACGTTATCCAGTTCCTCTTAGCACTTCACTATGAACTTGTTAAAGTCTTTCTTGTCAGAAATATCATGTTTAGGTTTAACTTTGGTGGGGGGCAGTCAGGTAATATTTTAAAAACTGCAAAATTAGGGATCTCATTTTATTTTTAGATGCTTGATGCTCATCTGCAGGAGAAACATCCCTATCGGGCTGGTTCTTTGAACACCCTCAGGGAAGTTAAAGAGCTTGATCTTTCTCTTTAGGAACCAGGAGCCTCTCCGGTCAGATGGGGGACTATTCTCTCACTGTCTTGTTTTGTGGCACAAATGGCCTGGGTCTGATGCAGGATACCCTGGAGTCTTCCCTGGCCTGTCCCTTTCCTGCCCACGTGGCGTAAACTTTGGCATGGCAGGGACAGATGGCCACTCCAGGGACTCTTCAGATGTCACATTTGGTTTCCTGGGTCGGGGGTAGGGTGGTTGCAGCCAGTCTCCACTGCGGGGAGGAGAGGCCGCCTGGGAAATACCCCTTGACAGTGGGTAAACACAAGCTCACCTCCGGAAAGGCCAGGCACCCCAGGACGTGTGCAGGCTGGACGGTAATGGAGTCAGATGCACATAAGTGTGTTTGGCTTGGGAAGAAGCCAGTCTGCTCAAAGCCCAGCCTTTTCTCTCTGCTCCTAATTGATGCTTAGCAGAATTTAGTTTGCTTATCGGAATGGGAATGAACCATGTGGGGACTGTGGAGGGAGGGATGGGCTGCAGATAACTACTTTCAGAACTAGAAAAAAATTCTTTCCAGAGGTCTGGGTTAGCTTTACAGGAGGTACAGATGAGGGAATCTGAAATCCACAGAGAGTCAGGAAAGGGCAGTTAGCTGCCCTCACCGATGGGTTTTTTTTTTTTTTTTTTTTTTGGTGATCAAACAGCACCAAACTGTGTAATGAGGAGCGAAGCATTGATGAAGAATAGCCGAGTGCAGCGTCTCCTGCATAAAATCCCATTGATTCAGGAGGCTGATTGGGGGGAGAATCCCTTAAGCCAAGGAGTTTGAGGCTGTAGTAAGT